CCCCATTCAGTATGATATTGGCTGTGGATTTATCATATATGGCTTTTATCATTTTGAGGTTAGTCCCATCTATGTCTATTTTGTTAAGTGTTCTTATAAAACAGTGCTAGATTTCATCTAATATTTTTTCTGCATCTATTGAGAGGATCATATGGTCTATGATTTTACTTCTGTTTATGTGGTTAATTACAATTATACATTTGAGTATATTGAACCATCCCTGCATCTCTGGGGTGAAGCCCACTTGGTCATGATAGATTATTTTTTGATGAGCAGCTGAATTCGATTTGTTAGGACTTTATTGAAAAATTTTATGTCTATATTCATAAGGGATATTAGTCTGTAGCTTTCCTTTTCTGATGGGTCTTTTCCTGGTTTTGACATCAGATTGGCTTCATAAAATGTGTTGGGGAGGATTACTTTCTTCTCAATGTTGCAGAATAATATCTGCAGGATAATCACCAGTTCTTTGTAGGTCTGGTAGAATTTGGAGGTGAAACCATCTGGTCCAGGATGTTTTTTTTTTTAGGAAATTTTTTTATTGCTGCTTCAATTTCAGTACTTTATATTGGTTTGTTTAGGAATTCTACATGTTCCTGACTGAACCTAGAGATGCTCTGTGTTTCTAAGAATTTGTCCATTTTCTCCACATTTTCAAGCTCATGTGCATAGAGATTTTTATAGTATTCAGAGACAATATCTTGTATTTCTGTGGTATCAGTTGTAATTTCTCCTTTTTCATTCCTAATTGAGCTTACTAGAGTCCTTTGTTTTCTGCTTCAGGTTAATCTAACAAGATTCTTTATATTTCTATGGACTCAATTGTTATGTCCCTTTATTTATGAATTTATTTATTAGGGGTCTTCTTTCTTTTCTCTTAGTCTAGCTAAAAGTTTATTGATTTCATTTATCTTTTCAAAAAAACAACTTTTTGTTTTGTTGATATTTTCTGTTTTGGTTCTCAACTTCATTTAATTCTTCTTGGATGTTTATTATTTCTTTCCTTCTACTAATTTAGGAATTGGTTTTTTTCTTGCTTGTCTAATTCCTTAAGGTGCATCATTCAGTTTGTCATCTGAAGTCTATCTATGTTTTTATATAGGCATTATTTGTATAAACTTCTCTCATAGTATTGCTTTTGCTAAGTCACATGGACTTTTAGTATGTGGTATTTCCCTTTTCATGTGTTTCAAGAAATAATTTAATTTCTTTCTTAATTTCTTCTTTGACCGATGGGAAATTCAAGACCATGTTGTTTAATTTCCATGTTTTTATGCAGCTTGCTTCAGATTTACCTCTTGTTATTGATTTCTAGTTTTATTATATTAGGATCAGAAAAGATACTTGATATGATTTCTACTTTTTTATGTTTTATCAGTGCAGTGGTCTCTTTTACCTGCAAGGCCTGGATTTTTTAAATTTCAAAATATTAAGGGTGTACAAATGTTTTTCTTATATGGATAGCTTTTATAATGCTTAAGTCAGGGCATTAGTGTACCCAACACCCAAATAGTGTTTATTGTATCCATTAGGTAGACTTTTACCCATTCCCTTTCCCCTGCTCCTTCTTGATTTCCAACGACTTTTACTTCTCTCTGTGCCCATGTGTGCCTATAAATTAGTTCCAAATTATTAGAGAGTACATGTGGGTTTCTTTTCTTATTCTTTTATTTTTTTTGAGACAGAGTCTCACTTTGTTGCCCAGGCTAGAGTGAGTGCCATGGTGTCAGCCTAGCTCACAGCAACCTCAAACTCCTGGGCTCAAGCAATCCTGCTGCCTCAGCCTCCCAAGTAGCTGGGACTACAGGCATGCGCCACCATGCCCGGCTAATTTTTTCTCTATGTATTAGTTGGCCAATTAATTTCTTTCTATTTATAGTAGAGACGGGGTCTCGCTCTTGCTCAGGCTGGTTTCAAACTCCTGACCTCGAGCAATCCATCTGCCTCGGCCTCCCGGAGTACTAGGATTACAGGCGCGAGCCACCTCGCCCGGCTTCTTTTCTTATTCTTGAGATACTTCATTTAGGATAATGGTCTCCAATTCCATCCATATTGCTTCAAAAGACATTAATTCATTTCTTGTATTGCTGAGCAGCACTCCCTCATGTACATATACCACATTTTGTTAATCCACTCATGTATTGATGGGCACTTGGGTTGATTCTGCATCTTTGCAATTGTGAATTGTGCTGTAATAAATATTTGAATGCAGATGTCTTTTTGATAAAATGACTTCTTTTTCTTTGGGTAGACACTCAGTAGTGGGATTGCTGGATCAAGTGGTAGTTCTATGTTTAGTTCTTTGAGAAATCTCTATACTGTTTTCCATAGAGGTTGGACTAATTTGCACTCCCACCAACAGTGGATAAGCATTCCTTTCTATCTGCATCCACACCAGCATCTATCATTTTAGGACTTTTTAGTAATAGCCATTCTGACAGGGATAAGGGGATATCTCACTGTGGTTTTAATTTGCATTTCCCTGATGATTAGTGATGCTGAGCATTTTTTAATATTTTTGTTGGTTATTTGTCTTTCTTTATAAAAAGTTCTGCTCATGTCTTTTGCCCACTTTTTAATGGAGATGTTTGGTTTTTTGTTCCTGATTTCTTTGAGTTTGTTGTAGATTCTGGGTACTAGCCCTTTATTGGTTATGTAGATTGTGAATATTTTCTCCCATACTGTAAGTTGTATTTTTCCAATGTAGATAACATTTTTGTTTTTTGCTGAGGCACAAATTCTTCACATTATAACACCTCTTGCTTGCCCTGAGGTGAAAATGAACAGAGATAGGAAAAAAAAGAAAGGAAACTATATTCTCTTCATTACTGATTTAACCACCATTAATCTAGTCACCTTGTGTCTTGAAGATCACCTGAGAAGACTCAGTCACCACAACACACCAAACATAAATAGCCATACCTACTAAGTCATATAGAGTCTTATAAAGTCTACTACTGAAAGTCTCCTTGTCAAACCCCATGCCCACTGTCTTCATTTCAAGACTCATCATTTCTTACTCAACACTGTGCAAGAGCATTGTCACACCTTCAATATAACCTCGCTGTCTGGTATAATAGATTGTTCACTTTGCTACCTGGAAGTCATTTGGAAAAATGCTCCTCTGCATCAAATCTATCAGTGACTCCTCATTGCTATCAGAATCAATCTTAAACTCTTAAACACAGCAACCAACATCTTTTATAATACACTTTCCTCCTCTTTCTCTTGATGTCCCACTATGCTCCTGCACTAAGCTTCAGTTCTCCAAACTATTGGCAATTTCTTCAACACTCCATGTCCTCACTTCTGTGCCTTTAGCATATTCCCTTCCCTCCTGTATCCATTGGGTGAACTATATATTTTTATCTGTGAAATACTATCTCCTCCATAAAGACTTGCTTTAAATCTCGTGTTTAAAGAAGGTGTCCCACCTATGGACTGTTACAAACACTCTATTACAATACTAACTACATTACATTGTAACTACTTATTTCACTGTTAGCCTCTTCCACTGACCTGGGAGTTCCTTGAGGAAAAAGACTGTATCTTACTTATCTCTTCCCATGGGCCAAGCACAGTGCCTGACACATAAATGGCACTCGATAAATGCTCACACAAAAAAAGGAGGAAAGGCAAAAAGAAACAGAAAATGAGCATAGAGGGGAGGAAGAGAGACAAGAAAGGAAGGAAGGAAACAAAAGGAGAGAGAAGGGGTTCCAGTGGGTCCAGAATAGAGACCCGAGTCCTAGGAGTTAAGAAATGCCTACAACTTTTGTAAACCTGAGCAAGGATAGATGCACATGTGTAGAAATACACATCCAGAGATTTGAGCAATATAGGTTCCGTGACTAGAAAGAAAAAACTAGAAACCATGTCTCCAGGTTATTGAAATAAACAGGCAAATCTATACTGATAAAAAAAATCTTTCTTAGACATAAAATATATATAAGTCACATTGATGTTGATTTTAATATTGTTTATAACAATAAACAAACTTTATATACATTAGTATTAATCAGATGAAAGCAAAATCTGGGTCTTGTTTTTAAAACTTGTTGCATAGATCTGAGTTACAGCATTTGATTTCCATATCAGGATTTTCATTCATTGACCTTATGTACGAACACTGGGGGTTACAACCACTGTATCCATAGACAAGGTTTCCACCTGGAGAGAGGCAGAGAAGATGGTAAGTGAGGCCCCAGAAGCTAAGCTGCAGACACACGGTGTGGGACCCAGCAGAGCCTGCACAGTGTTCAATAAATACTGCTGAGTGAATCAGCGATCAATGCATCAGCAATCAATCAAGGATGAGGAGAAGATGCCACATCCACTGAGGACTCAGGCTCCCTGGGAGGGATGAGTACCTGCCTCCAGGGATTGAGGGGCCTGAGGTAAGACCCCGTAGTGGGCTCTCCTAGGACAGCTCTGGGGCTCTGTGCATTAGAGTTCAATCCACCTCCCAACCAAGAGAGGGAGGGCAGGGCTGAGGAGACAGTTCACGGCCCAATCCCTCCTCCTCACCCCATCCCCAGTTTCCAGAGAGTACACCACACTGGAGTTTTAGGAGCCCAAGTCCAGTGCCCCTCAGGACCCACACAGACGATCCCTACATGTCTTCTAGGTCACCAGGCCCATTAAGGGATACTGATGAGAACCAGACAGTGCTGCTGCACTCACTTAAGTTAAAGACAAACAAAACACAGCTTCCTTGCCCTATGCTGCACCCATCCCCATGGTTCCTGAGGAGCCTTTCTCTACATCCTATAGCCACACTTCCCAGTCACTGGGGCCTGGGTTCCCATGTGGGTCTCATGGGTGGTTCATACCACCCCTCACCCAATCACCCTCCCCAATCTCCAACATTAGACAACGGTCACCTCAGATATGTCTTAGGCCCCACCTACCTTTAAAGACTTTGATCAGGTAGCACTGGCCATCCGCAATCTCGCAGACATCTGCCTCACACTCCCAACGCCCATAAGCATTGATTTTAATGCACTTGTTACATTGTAGAGCTGAAAAGTGGAAACCAGCATGAGGATCTCTGGGCACAGCACCACCACTGCTGAGGAGAGGGAGCTCCCGCTCTAACCCAGACAGCCTGGACAAGGGCCAGTGCCCACCAAGAGCCTGAGGAGCTGAGCTCAGCCTGGGGCTATAATTGCGAGAAGGCATGCAGGCACCTGAGTGTGGGGTCTGCCCAGGCTTGGACAGGATCTCTGCACTCTTGTGAGTGGGCTTTACTGTGAGGGGAGGAAGTTCCACATGGATGTCCAGTGCTCTGGGAGCCCATGACACCCCACCCACCACCCACCACTAATATAATTTACATAAGACACTCAAAATAAGAAAATAAAACCTAATATTTCTTTGTAGAAACTGCACAAAGTAAAGCTTGGACAAAACATCTCAGCACAAGGAGACATTGGACAGCACTGCGCCCCTGCTCAGCTACCATGAAGGAGGTTTAAAAGGGACCCCTCTAGGGTATTGCAAGAGTTTAAATTTACCAAAAAAAGAAAAAAAAAGGAAATTATAGGCTTTTCTTGAAAGATTAAGTAGATGGTGAGGAGAGTGAGGAGGACGCAGTGTCTGCGAGATTGCGGATGGCCAGTGCTACCTGATCAAAGTCTTTAAAGGTAGGTGGGGCCTAAGACATATCTGAGGTGACCGTTGTCTAATGTTGGAGATTGGGGAGGGTGATTGGGTGAGGGGTGGTATGAACCACCCATGAGACCCACATGGGAACCCAGGCCCCAGTGACTGGGAAGTGTGGCTATAGGATGTAGAGAAAGGCTCCTCAGGAACCATGGGGATGGGTGCAGCATAGGGCAAGGAAGCTGTGTTTTGTTTGTCTTTAACTTAAGTGAGTGCAGCAGCACTGTCTGGTTCTCATCAGTATCCCTTAATGGGCCTGGTGACCTAGAAGACATGTAGGGATCGTCTGTGTGGGTCCTGAGGGGCACTGGACTTGGGCTCCTAAAACTCCAGTGTGGTGTACTCTCTGGAAACTGGGGATGGGGTGAGGAGGAGGGATTGGGCCGTGAACTGTCTCCTCAGCCCTGCCCTCCCTCTCTTGGTTGGGAGGTGGATTGAACTCTAATGCACAGAGCCCCAGAGCTGTCCTAGGAGAGCCCACTACGGGGTCTTACCTCAGGCCCCTCAATCCCTGGAGGCAGGTACTCATCCCTCCCAGGGAGCCTGAGTCCTCAGTGGATGTGGCATCTTCTCCTCATCCTTGATTGATTGCTGATGCATTGATCGCTGATTCACTCAGCAGTATTTAGCACTGATGAATGAAATTTGCAGAATAATGAAATGAAATGAAATGAAATTTGCACTGATTTGTAGAATAGTTTTGTAGCCATGGCTTCATGCTCCTCTGTGGACCTAGGCAAAACACAGAATCTGGGCCCACTCCTACTCCAACAGGGGACTTCAAAAAATAACACAGCACTTCCCCTTCTGAACCTTCTCTCCCAGATTGAGAACCAGAAACCCACTGAATAAGGAACTTACTCCCCAGAGGTACAATCATTCCCCAGCTCACCTCTGAAGTCTCAGGAGGTTGTGTCACACGCCCCACTCAAAACAGCATGACATTGATTGAGAGCTGGCTATGTGCCAGGCATAGAGCAAAATACTTGAACAATTCTCCACTTGATCCTCACACACAGCCTATGTGGTGGTTATTAATGTCTCCATTTTATCGGTGAGAAGCAATCTAGCTAAGGTGACAAAGACAATAAATGCCATATTCAAATCCAGGTATACAGACTCCATTGACTCTGTGACTCTGCCAATAGAACCCAAGTCTTAGTGATTCCCAAGAGTTTCCAAATTGGTGTCCAAACATCAGAGGGCAAGATCCCTGCTGCCAAAACTGCCACCTGTGACTACCTTAGACACAGAAGGTCCATAGCACTGTCCCCATATTATGAATAATAATGCACCTGTGTCGGCAGAAACAATTAGCTATGATGTGCTAAGAGTAAGTTTTTTTCACCAAATGTTTCTCCTACAAGTCCCATTTAGCCCTAATCCTAGAATGCTCTGGGTGGAGAGAGGGCATTGTGCCCTGCTGTTTGGCCCAGCCCTAGGGGATTCTTTTCTCTCCACTCCCTGGATCATCCCAGTGACCCCCTTCCAGAGATCTCAGTTGTCCAGGCTCCTCAAGACCAGAGATTATTCCAAGCTCCGGCTCCTACTCATTCCTGCAGAAGTGAGCCCCATTTAGCCTGGGGCTGCTGAGGAACTAGACACTGTGTGTAGTGCAGGGGTTGTGGGTCAGAGCAGACAATATCAGAATCGTAGGGCAGAAGGCACGCATCATTTTAATAAACATATTAATATAATTTACATAAGACACTCAAAATAAGAAAATAAAACCTAATATTTCTTTGTAGAAACTGCACAAAGTAAAGCTTGGACAAAACATCTCAGCACAAGGAGACATTGGACAGCACTGCGCCCCTGCTCAGCTACCATGAAGGAGGTTTAAAAGGGACCCCTCTAGGGTATTGCAAGAGTTTAAATTTACCAAAAAAAGAAAAAAAAAGGAAATCATAGGCTTTTCTTGAAAGATTAAGTAGATGGTGAGGAGAGTGAGGAGGACGCAGTAACTGGGTTCTCCCCAGGCAGGAGAGAGGTGCACAGTCCTCCCAGGGCTGCCAGAGACTCACTAAGGAACGAGCTCCTCTTTCAGGCCTGACCCCAGCACACGGCATCTCCCAGATCTGCACCCTGTGCCCGACAGTCAGGGCCAGAACTCCGCGCTGATGGCCTGGAAATCTCCACCTCACATCTTCCCCCGTCCCTGAGGACAGGCAGCCAAGTAACTGGGCGTCCTCCCCGCTGGCCCTGTGCTGCTCCATAAAACCTCTCTACCATCCTCCTCGCTGTTCCAGGACAGAGACACAGCGCAGTTATGGACTGTGGTCACTTCACGACACTGAGTGAGTGCTGTTTGCTCCTCCTCCTCCCTCCCTTCCGTTGCAGGAGGCAGCTGCTCCCTGGCACAGTCCCGGGACCCAGAGCAGGAACGGCTGTGGCCGCACCCAGCACAGGCACAGGCCTGGCACCCAGTCTCGGGGAGCATCCAGGCCGGGACCCCAGCTTGGCACAAAGGTGGCAGGACTCCAGGGACCCCAGGGGATGCAGATGCTCACATAGCTCCTCTGACAGCCTTTGGCAGTCACCAGTGAGGACACGAGAGCGCACACTGGGCCGGACCATTAGTGTGGATTACCCTCCTCTTCTGGCTGCCCCACAGCCAGATTCCTGCCTATTAGTTTGAAGGACACTTATCAGTTATTGAGTCAGATACGAATTCCTGTGCTGAAGGAGTCTGAAAGAGTTCAGTGTTGGTTAGATAATTTTGCCATCCACGATTCCCGGGTTACATGTGGATTTAGCCCAGCTGTGTGCTGGAAAATGTTTAACAACTGGCACGTGGGAAAGGGGTGGGGCAGGGACCTGATTTGCAGCATTTTCAGATTTCTGTGGTGTACATGGCAATTCAAGCTACCATCTGCATCACTGAATGGGGAGTGGAGGAGAGATGTGCAGCAGAGCAATGTTATATAGTTTCCTCCCTACAGACACACTGGAATCCAATACCCTACAGAGCATAGACAAAGGGAAAAGGAGTAAAATTGTAGAAGTTACGAGGATTTGAGTATTATCATTGCCTTTAATAAAATTTATATGTCGGTTTCTACAAGTTAACCTTTTATGATAGCTGTGTTCAACAAGCGGCTCTTACAGCTCCTGGGTCACCACCGTTGGCGCTCACGGGCCGCCCGAGGCCGCCCCCGCACACCACGGCACGAGCCACCGTTACGAGAAGGTTCTCTAGCGGAGGGTGGAAACTGCTCTCTCCCTTTACTCACACACTTGCCAGGGACGTCACTCGTCCTATCCCTGATTTGTCACAGAGAGACAACGCTATGTGCACAGCCAAACGGAAGATCCCCGCCTTGGTGTGGGGCTTTTCTTCTCGGGCTCTGCGAGCCGTTGACCGTGGAGCGGCGCCGTCCCCACCGCGCGGTGCAGGGGGAGCGCGCTCGCTGCCGCGCCGTGGGCAGGCTGGGAAGCCAGGAGGCTCGGTGTCCCTGTCCTGATCCCGGAGACCTCTGCTCGCAGTTGCTGCAAGAGACTCAGGGGAACTTTACTGCTCAGGATCCGTATGTGGACTCGCTGACTACGGGACTTTGGATGTTGACCGGCAACTACCCGGAGTCTTCCCCCAGAGAATGAGAGGCGACCCCGTCAGGGCGCCCAGTGAGTTCCACTCTGAGACCCACAGGAGCTCCAGAGTAAATCGACCCCTGCTCCTCTACTCTGGGAAACACTGTTAATAACCCCTCTATTCCCCACATTCCAGCCCCTCTCTTGCGTTTGTGTGATAATAATCTATCATTAAAAGCAAATTATAAGCAATAAAAATATTATGTCAGGTTCCCGATGCTTCCAGCTGAAAAAAATTGTTTATCAAAATCCCCTTGGAAATTGCTTCAGGATAAGCTGTGGACGTTGGGCAGTTACAGGGAACAGAGGAAATAAGACTCGTCACGAGCGCATGACAGTTGAAACTGTGTGACAGGGATGTGAGCATACTCTGTACTTTGGTACATGTTTGAAACTTTCCAAGCTCAAAAACTTGGTGGGTGGGGTTTGAGCAGCAGAGGCCCCCAGTGCTGTGGGAAGATGTCGCTCGTCCCTGTGCCTCTGAGAGCAGAGACGGTGAGGGACGGGTGTGTGTGGGCAGGTCAGGGGGCAGCCGTGGGCAGAGGCCTGCAGTTGGGTGATGGCCTCAGGCGCCTGAGGATGACGTCCTCAGACCAAATAGACTTCTCCTTTTCCTGGTCATTCTCCCTGGAGCTGTGGCCCTGGAATGTGTCCAATATGCACCATTACCAGTTGTGGGGTCTATGCAGTCATGAGAATTATGGAACATTAAGACAACATAAACTGGATTAACAACATATGCACTTTCTCAGAATCTCTACTGCTCTGTAAAACAGGGATAATACGTGACTGGCAGCACTGCTATAAAAGAAAAGCAATGATCAGACATTTATTATAGTACCAGCAAAACTGAAACCCTGAAGGGACGGAGAACCTGAATACTCAATGGCCAGTCTTTATAAATGCCTGCATGTGCCAGGCAGTGCGCTGAGTGCGGCCACCTTCATCACCTCACTTAACCTCAGAAGCCTGAGACATAGACACTGATACTACCCTAACCTTACAAATGAGGCCACAGAGGCTCAGAAAGGGTGAATCTTTTTCCAAGGTCACACAGACAGACCTAGCAGAGCAGTTTCACCCTCAATCTGGATAGTGTCCTTTCCTTTGTGACACAGTGCCAGGAAAAGCCAAAAGTCAGTGGGGCAGGGACAAGAACTCGTGGAGGGATGAACACGAGAACAACTGATGCACTTTCTTTTTTATTGTCTCAGGAAATTATAGGGGTACAAACATTTTGGTTACATGTTATGACTTTGCCACATCCAAACCATGATTTGCGACATGGCCTTTCCCCCACTAAATGCTCACCGCGTCCATTAGTTGTGAGTTTACCCACCCGCAACCCCCACTCCCAAAGAATATCACTACTGTGTGAGCACTTACCTTACTGTTCATGAGCTAATGCCAGTTTGATGACGAGTACATGTGGTGCCTATTCTTCCATTCTTCTGATACCTCACTTCAGAGGTTGGGCTCAGGGTCTATCCAGGAAACTATAAGAGGTGCTAGATCATGATCATTTTTTATAATTGAGTAGTATTCATTTTATACTTATACCATATTTTCTTAATCCACTCATGGCTTGACAGGCACATAGGTTGTTTCCACATCCTTGCAATAGTGAATTGTGCTGCCATAAACATTCGAGTGCAGATGTCTTTATTATAGAATGACTTTTGATCCTTTGGATAGATGCCTAATAGTGCTATTGTTGGATCAAATGGTAATTCTACATGTAGCTCTTTAAGGTATCTCCAAATTCTTTTCCACAGAGGTTGCACTAATTTGTAGTCCCACCAGCAGTGTAAGAGTGTTCTTGTCTCCACATCCTTGCCAGCATTTGTTGCTTTGGGATATTTTGATAAAGGCCAATTTTACTGAAGTTAGGTGATATCTCATTGTGGTTTTGATTTGCATTTCCTTAATGATTAGAGATGTTAAGCATTTTTTAATGGTTGCTGGTCATTATTCTGTCTTCTTCTGAAAAGTATCTGTTCATGTCCTTTGCCCATGTTTTGATGGGTAGTTTGATGTTTTCCTTGTTGATTTTTGTGAGTTCTAGATGGATTCTTATTAACTAATGCACTTTCAATTCTCTCCTTCCTCTCTGATTGGTCTGGCTCCAAGTTGGCACAAACTTGAGAGGACTCGAGAGAATAAGACAAGAAGCGGCCGCTGTGCTCACCCTGTAATCCTAGCTCTTGGGAGGCGCGGCGGGCGGATGCTCAAGTCAGGATCAAAACCAGGCTGAGCAAGAGCGAGACCCCGTCTCTACTATAAATAGAAAGAAATTAATTGGCCAACTGATATATATATATAAAAAAAAAAATACCGGGCATGGTGGGCAATGCTGTAGTCCAGCTACTCGGAGGCTGAGGCAGAAGGAATCACTCAACCAGGAGTTTGAGGTTGCTGTAGCTAGGCTGACGCACGCACTCACTCAGCCTCGGGCAACAAAGCGAGACTGCTGTCTCAAAAAAAAAAAAAAAAAGACAAGACAAAAGTTCAAGCATAATCCAAGTCGTCATGGTATATTCTATATTTATTAAAGAGTTTTAAAAAGTTTGTATGCATAGTTCACTATAATTGAAGGGAATTATTATATAGTTTTCTAAAATTATACTTTATATTAAAAAATAAACTAATATAAAACTACAAAGTTTCCCCTGACTTTAGAAGAGTTTTCTAGGTAATAATTTGCCCCTGATAACATTACAAGAAGGTTTTTTTTTAAATTTCTACTTGATAATAAATTTCTTCCTTTAAAACTTCTCAACTTCCATGTCTTAAAAAGTTTCAGCTTTCGCTATGTAGGTTTGCTACTCTGTGATTTACAGGTCATAACATCAGGCCTTCCTTTTCTTTTCCCTGGAAAGAAGAATGTGGGTTTTTGCTTAACCACAACCATAACTCTCCTTCAGCTTTCCGTCCAACTCCTATACCTTTATTTCCCTCTGGTTCTAACTCTGCTGCTATGGCCTGAATGAAAATATTATCTTTTTATTTTTATTTATTACTTTTAAGGGGGGTGGGGGGGGGGGGGGGGGTGATGGTCATGGTATTTGGCCGGGGCTGGTCTCAGACTCCTGGCCTCGAAGCAATCCTCCACCTCAAGCCTCCGTGGAGTAGCACTGGAACTACCCAGGTGGTGGTCACCCATGCCCTACTAAAATATTATCTAAAATTAAAAAAAATGTACTCAATATAATTTTATATATATTCTTGTCTTTTCTTAATATCTAATATTAAGATTATATATAAATAAAAAACTCTACTATCTAAAGAAGCCATATATTGCCTGCTCAAAATACAGTTTTCTTATTCCACCTTCCTCTACAATATATATGATACCCTGGACACATCTGCCTGTGTCTAATTAAACTCAAGTACAATTTCATCAGGTATTGACTTCCTGGTTATCTAAATGCACTTCCCATATCAAAAAAAACAAACAAACAAAACAAACAAAAAAATGATCTCACATAAAAATGTTTTTCTTAATTGTTCGGTACTGACCTAAAACTACAAAAAATATTTTTGCATTTTTTATTTTTTATTATGATTATTTTTTTGAGACAGAGTCTCACTCCTGTTCCTGGCCAGAGTGCCAGGTGTAGCCTAGCTTCCACAGCAAACCTCAAACCCCTGGCTCAAGCAATCCTTCTGACTTCAAGCCTTCCCAAGTAGCCGACTACAGGCATGTGCCACCATGCCAGCTTAATTTTTCTATATATTTTAGTTGGCCAATTAATTTGTTTCTATTCTTAGTAGAGATGGGTATCGCTCTTGCTCAAGGCCTGGTTTTGAAACTCCAGACCCTTGAGTGATCCTCCTGCCTTGCCTCCCAGAGGCTAGGATTAAGGCATGACACCACGCCCTGTCCAAGATTTTACATTTTATCAAGATAATTCGTGTTGTCCTTATTAGGTTTTTATTGCTAGGAACAAATGAATTTTAAGAGGGTGTAAGTTTTACATCTATACATCTTTCGTATTGTTTCCTGGTTTTAAATATCACTCTGATTAAATGAACAAATTTTTACAATGACTGCCAACTCTGTTTTTCAAAGGTTTTTGAAACGCTTTTGAAACCTTAATCTTTTAGATTAAATAACTAGACTTATTTATAATGTATAAAAAGCATAATCAAACCAACAAAGCATTACTAGATCTTCTTTCAGTTAATTTACAGACATATGACAATATAAATTTTTAAAAACTATATAAATTGATATAAATCTACAAATTTTATCCAGTCATGATTAATTGTAAGTAAATTTTTCTGAAATTAATTTTTAGAATACATTATTAATATAAATTCTTCAAGGAAATATACAAAATTTATGTCTAATATTTCTATATGAAGTCACAATTCTATTATTAATTTAAATATATATAGATAAAATAACTAAATATTTTTAATTAAAAGGGCTTATCAGCTGGGCGTGTGGCTCACGCTGTAATCCTGCACTCCGTGGAGGCCGAAGCGATGCGATGCTCAAGGTCAGGATGTTGAAACCGCCTGAGCAGAGCAGACCTGTCTTACGTAAAATATGAAGAAATATTGCCACTAATACATATGAGAAAAAATTAGCCGGCATGGTGGCGCATGCCTGTAGTCCCGCTACTTGGGAGCAGAGCAGCAGGATTGCTTGACCCCAGGAGTTTGAGGTTGCTGTGAGCTAGCTGAACCATTGCAACTCCACTCTAGCCTGGGGCAACAAAGTGAGACTCTGTCTCAAAAAAAGGGGTGGGGGT